GTAATCCCAGCACTTTGGGCGGCCTAGGCAGGTGGATCACAAGAGGTCAGGAGTTCAAGACCAGTCTGGCCAATATGGTGAAACCCCATCTCTACTAAAAATACAAAAAATTAGCTGGGCATTGTAGTGCATGCCTATAGCCCCAGCTACTTGGGAGGCTGAGGTGGGAGAAATCATCTGAACCCAGGAGGCAGAAGCTGCAGTGAGCTGAGATTCAGCCACTGCACTCCAGCCTGGGCAACAGAATGAGACCCCATCTCAAAAAAAAAACAGAAGAGAGAGACCTTTCTTTTTTGGTCATCAAGTGGTTATTAGACATGAAATTTAAATTGTTAATGTTTAAAATGTAGCCAATTCTTACATCTCCAGAAAATTCTTAAAAGAACACTTTTTCCTAATACCCACACACAAAATGCATCTGTCCTGCTTCACTCGTTTTCCTACCCTAGCTGGTTAAATAGGCTCAAAATTCAAACCTGTCTTAATACTCATCCAAAAAAACACAATTGGAAAGATGACTACACCCCACCACCAACAACAACAAATTACCAATTAACATTTAAAATGATGAGATTTATTTTACCCCATGTTTTAAAGAACCAAAATCATAAAATCCTATGATTATTTTTTTAAAAAGGCTTATCAACGGTTACTTCACATCTTCTACCTAATAGAAAAGTCCACCCAAAGGTATCACACATGAATTTTTATAAGTAGTAAATAATTACAGAGACTAAAAATAACCTTGAAACTTAGACCAAGGCTAACGGCCGATTTCTACCCTGTTTTCAGGCTCAAGAATCCTAAAACGAATTCTAAATTGTGAAATTGGAGTCTGTCCCCAGCCAGAGTAGCAGACTTAATGCACCATTCATCTGTTCTGCTCTCAGCCGCTCATTGAAACCAGTCACAGTCATTTGATTTTTAGGGAAAAGACAGTACTGCAAAAGTACATTCCAGAGGTCCTTCCATAAAAACCATCCTGTGTGCTCCATCTGCATGTGCAATCTGCTGTGTATTTTCAGCCAGCTTGCACGGGCAGATTAATGCGTACAATTAGAAAGCAACCTCACAGGCATTCGATAAACTGCCTTCATTATTACACTCAGGAGAGTCCCTTTGGATGTCAATAAAAGCCTAGTTTTCTGCCTGTTAGCTAAATAATTGACAACACTAAAAATAATCAGAAGCAAATGAACGAAGTCAAGAACAAGGTGTTAAGAAAGAGCACATTAAGATTCTCATGGTGGTGCCCCAGGTCGCTATCATGAGCTTTCTCTCCAGCAACTTGGATTTACAATCCGCTCAAGTCCATGGTTGCCCTCTCTACAGAAAACGGTATCATTCCTGGTCTGCTGTGCGAATCACACATTGCAGCATGGTGAAGCTAGCAAAGTACTGACTGGTTTGAAAGAATTTCTTATGCGTGTTTCTATTTTGTGTTCCTTCGTTTGACAGTTTCAGGAGAAACTAATTTGGGAGGTGGGGGTAGGCAGTCTGGTTGGTCTGGCAAAACCTTTGTGATGTTAAAAATCCAAAGAGCTGACTGGACGAGGTGGCTCACACTTGTAATCCCAGCTCTTTGGGAGGCCAAGGCAAGGGGATCACTGGAGGTCAGGAGTTTGAGACTACCCTGGCCAACGTGGTGAAACCCCGTCTCTACCAAATATGCAAAAATTCACCAGGTGTGGTGGCATGTGCTTGTAATCCCAGCTACTTGGGAGGCTGAGGCAGGAGAATCACTTGAATCCGGGAGGCGGAGGTTGCAGTGAGCCAAGATTGAGCCATTGCACTCCAGCCTGAGCAACAGAGCGAGACTCCGTTTCAAAAAAAAAAAAAAAAAAATCCAAAGAGCTTTCCTAGACGTTTTACCCCCCCCCAAAAAATGATTCTAAGAAGGTATGACAAAGACTTGTCATATAGAGGATCCATCTTTTCTAAATCTCTTTTATGTTTCTAACTATACAATTGCTGCTTATTTCATGAGCTATTGGTCTTTTAATTTCAAAAGTAATTCAAAACACAATACTCTTTCAAAGAAGAACCTCACGCATATACCTCTTCCCGTGTTTCTCAATAGGCTTTAAAAATCAATTTGAGATCCTTCTCGTTTTTAGCCAACCTCTCTTTTTCTTGGTTACCTGGGACTTTTACAACAAGCAGAAGAAAGAGCAAGAGTGAAATGTGCGTGTAATTGAATTCAGCTCCACTGATAGTAGGCCGGGTGGCTGAGGGCAAAGTTTTTTTTTTCTTTACAGAAAAAAGAGTGATTGATCTTCTGTATTTAGTTGTTTTACTAAGACTCAAGAAGCTAGAACTATAAAAGAAAGGAGGTTGGACGCACAACTTCTAAAGTCTTTTAAAACTTCAAGAATCTCTTATCCTTTACTTTGCCGTATTTAGAACTCTCCAGAGAATGAACCCATTCAACTATCCAGTCCTGTGCCCAAGGCCCCTCACTGCTAAGTAGGTCTTCCCTCTTCTGATGTAAAACCAGTATGTCATAGGACAATGACATTTGTTCTCATTTGTGACTCTAGGCTACCAAAGTTGAGAGGTGAAGCCAGCTGAACTTCTGGGTCGGGTGGGGACTTGGAGAACTTTTCTGTCTTACAAGAGGATTATAAAATGCACCAATCAGCACTCTGTAGCTAGGACTGTAAAACACACCAATCAGCGCTCTGTGGCTAGCTAGAGGTTTGTAAAATGCTCTAATCAGTACTCTGTAAAAACATACCAATCAGTGCTCTGTGGCTAGCTAAAGGTTTGTAAAATGCACCAATCAGCACTCTGTAAAATGGACCAATCAGCACCTGTAAAATGGACCAATCAGCAGGACATGGACAGGGACAAATAAGGGAATAAAAATTGGCCACCCCAGCCAGCAGTGGCAACCTGCTTAGGTCCCCTTCCACACTGTGGAAGCTTTGTTCTTTTGCTCTCCACAATAAATCTTGCTGCTGCTCACTCTCTGGGTCTGTGCCACCTTTAAGAGCTGTAACACTCACCACAAAGGTCTGCGCCTTCATTCCTGAAGTGAGCAAGTCCAAGAACCCACCGGAAGGAATCAACTTCGGACACAAAGCCACCAGCCCAGCCCCTAATCTCTCTCACCTCTTCAGGCTGAGTCTTGAAATAAATTCTCATTCATTCTCTACCCATGAGAGGAGAGGCAATGATAGATTCACAGCGGTCATCTAGTGCCTTCCTCCCACCATATCTCCGCAAGACAGACAGTTTCTCCTGGTGCTTAGCTCCTTAGTTTCCCACTAGCTCCTCACTCAAATGCCTTCCTTAGAAGAAGAGTGGAGAGAGACAGGCTAAGGATTCTGTGATGAAAATTAGAGCGAGGCTCCTTTTTAGCTGAGGAGGATGACATCACTTACCAACACTTTCATCCTACCCAATCCCATCTCCCATCTATTTTCTGGCCTGGGTAGCAGAAACACAGTATCTAACTTGTTAAGGAGCAAGCAGCGGGTTGAGAAACTTCTCTTCCATTCCTGCCTCTGAATCTTAAAGCAAGAAAGGGCTGCTTATGATAGTGGCAGGATAATTTTAGTAGCATGAGAAATCAGAGGATACTGTGCTGAGGAGGAGGAATATGTTGGAGGGTGTCACAAATACGCTCACCCCGACATGTGAGTGATCTTAAATTCTGCAAACAAGGAACAACAATGGAGCGAGAGATCAGGAGGCAGGCAGTGAATATTTCATACGAAAGTGGAGCACCCACTACTGGTTCTGGTGGGACCAGAAATTCATGTACAGCCATAAAATAAAAGTTATATGAGCCTACTCAACAAGGGCCTCTGTAAGAAGGATCGTTGCAAGTGCCTGTAATAGGCACTTTTATGTCATTTACATATTTTATGTAATTCTTGCAAATGGCCTATAAGATAGATACGATCTCTATTTAAGAAAAAAAAAAAACAAAGAACGCTGACATTCGAAGAGTTTTAGTGGGAGCTAGGACTTTGAACCCAGATCTGCTTGGTTCTATTTCTACCACATTTAGAATTAGGCCGGGCGCGGTGGCTCAAGCCTGTAATCCCAGCACTTTGGGAGGCCGAGACGGGCGGATCACGAGGTCAGGAGATCGAGACCATCCTGGCTAACACGGTGAAACCCCGTCTCTACTAAAAATACAAAAAAATAAGCCGGGCGAGGTGGTGGGCGCCTGTAGTCCCAGCTGCTCGGGAGGCTGAGGCAGGAGAATTGCGCGAACCCGGGAGGCGGAGCTTGCAGTGAGCGGAGATCTGGCCACTGCACTCCAGCCTGGGCGACAGAGTGAGACTCCGTCTCAAAAAACAACAACAACAACAACAAAAAAACAAATAGAATTAATGTGGGGCCCGAAATAGGATTCTTTGGTTTTGTCTTTTAATCAATGTGCAGGTAACCTGGCTACCAAGAGTTAGGACATGAGCGTATCCTTAAAGCCTACATAACAAAGTAGATTGCGTTATAAAGCACGTAGTAGTTGCCCTGTATCTATTAGCTGCTGTTGTTCACAAATCATACTGCAAATTACCTTGCTGTATGACCACCAGTGGAGAGTTTTGCCAATAACTACTAAATGACTTCTCAATTCTTGTCTAGAAAAAAATACAGGTGTATAATAGCCCTCAGTCCATTAGATAAATCCCTGGTCAGTTTAGATTCTGGTTAGGCACTTCAGTGCAAACACTCTGTTCCTTATATTGGTATCCTGGAAGTCAACATAAGCAGAAGTACCTTGGATCACCAAAGGATCAAGTCTTCCAAGTCATTTATAATGGAGAATTTCTCAAATTTAGTGTTACTGACTACTAAAGGATACTTTGGTGAGTCGACATGACTCCCGCCTTACTTACATGGTGACAGAGTTCAATTACATAATTAATATCACAGCCAATAACCCAATACCAGGTGCTTTGACAAGTGACCATCGCCTGAATTTAAAACCTGTATGAACAATCTGCCTATAAAGGCACAAAGTTCTGGAAACATTAACTTACTATTGTTGATGCTCTCTAAATGCTTCTCTCCTCAGGTTTTCTTGAAGTCTTTTTTTCTCCTCCAGTTTATTGCTCTGAAATTGCAAATATCAAAACATAACTTATTAAAGATGCTTTAAGCAGAGTCATGATGCTAAAGTTACCCGAGGTCCAAAATCCTAAGGTTCAAGCGGCCTTGATAGTCTAATACAGTATCCTGCCAGAGGCTCCAAGATGGTATTCCCTGTCAGACCCACGGGCACTGGACTGAAAGCCAGGAGCTCCAAGTTCTTTCCATAGCTCCCCTCTCCCAACTTGATTGGTATAATCACAGAACCAGTATTTTGCGTTTTTATCCTTTAGTTCAAATGATAGCAACATTTATTTTTTAAGCAGTGCTTTCAAAATGTTTTAATGAAAACATGAAATTTCCATACCAAGTATGTTAAATTAAAATTATAATAAATGGTTAAAAAGCTCATAAAAAATTTATATATACACCCAAATTCTACTAAAGTATTCAGGAAGAGATTTTCAATAAGACAACCCAACTCCCTTCTGACTTAGAATCAGATACTTAAAGCTGTTGAGGGACTGAACAGCACATGTCATAAAAGAAGCCACCCACTTGAATAGAAAATAGTTTTTTTTTTTTAATTAGCTGTTTGGAGAGCCTGGAGATAAAGGGCTTCATATTTGATATTTCTGTCACCATGGCTCTGGCATATTTTAATCCAATTTAAATAACCCAGGAACATTTGCTTTTTGCTCACCATGACACACTGTCATTTTTTAACTTGCTATGACCTATGAAAAACAAGTAAAATTCCTAGACAACAAATTTAATGGGGAGTTGAAACACATTCTACTATCCAGGAGGATCATGAAGTTTTAAATGAATCCAAGAGAGACAGTAAGCAGCTGGGTTTACTTTAATAAAAAAATTGGATTTGCCCAGAAGAGGACCTGTGAAAGGAGAAAAATGGAAATCATCACTTTCAAGCCCAAACGTAAGTCTGGTTCCATCTTTCAAAGAAAGGAAAAACCTGCTTGTATTGTTCATTTCCATGAAAGTCTTCATTCACTTAAAACTAATTACTAGTCCCATTTTGAAAGGCAAAATGGATGATTTCGGTTTCAGAAAAAAAACTAAAGGAAATTTACTACAGTCAAAGAGAATCAATTATAAGGCAAGCAACTGGATTATTAATGAAACACAGAATTCTAGGAGGCAAACTAATGGAAAATTATAAAAGCAAATAAACATGATTCTAGTCTAGGAAAAAATCCTGACTCATGAGCACACAAGTGTTCAATGGTGATGAGTTCCCTGCCCTCCAGGGTGGGGACTGGGGGGGTTGCGGTGGATCTCAAAGGGTGAAAGACAGCAAACAAGCAGTAAGTGTTGATTAAACCAGTATTCAGAAAGCTACTCAGAGAACAGTGAGAAAGCCACAAAAACAGCTAGAGACAAAAGGCTGGATTCCTTTAGCAAAGTCAGAATTTTTTTTTTTTTTTTTTTGAGACGGAGTCTCGCTCTGTCACCCAGGCTGGAGTGCAGTGGCCGGATCTCAGCTCACTGCAAGCTCCGCCTCCCGGGTTCACGCCATTCTCCTGCCTCAGCCTCCCGAGTAGCTGGGACTACAGGCGCCTGCCACCTCGCCCGGCTAAGTTTTTGTATTTTTAGTAGAGACGGGGTTTCACCGTGTTAGCCAGGATGGTCTCGATCTCCTGACCTCGTGATCCGCCCGTCTCGGCCTCCCAAAGTGCTGGGATTACAGGCTTGAGCCACCGCGCCCGGCGCGAAGTCAGAAATTAAGACCACAGGTTTTAACCTTTTCGCTAATAGATTCCAACTCACAGTCACATAGTAGCTAAATTGTATCCAACAAAAGTCTACTTATGGCTGGGCACAGTGACTCATGCCTATAATCCCAGCTCTTTCGGAGGCCGAGGCGGGCAGATCACCTGAGGTCAGGAGTTTGAGACCAGTCTGGCCAACATGGTGAAACCTCATCTCTGCTAAAAATATAAAAATTAGCCAGTCATAGTGGCAGGCACCTGTGATCCAAGCTACTCGGGAGGCTGGGCGTGATCTACACTCCTCCCATAAAGAAGGAAAAGCCACCTCGTAACCATGCAGCTTAACCAGGAAGTTTAGAAACCATAATTCCCCCAGTGTTAATTCAAACTCTCCTGGCTCTCGTGCTCCAGGATGGAGTCCTTAAACACTAATAGGCCCTGAGTGGAGTGGTGGGGAACTTTTGGAAAGCTTTCCATGGACATCCATTTATAGTTGCTTTCTATCTACATTCCTTCCTATGTTATTCTTTATTGCAACTGCTCTCCCCTAAATGTGATTAAGCCACACTGCCATCATTGCTTCTGTCTGTGCCCAACGAGGGTCTGTAAACATTTTACCAGAAATGGGTACTGCTCTGTTCGTAACTGTCTTCCCAGCCCCTAACATGGTACCAGCCATGATACACCAGGCATTATATGAATAGGGATTGAATTACTAATTTTCACTACTCAAGAAATACCTACTACTACTACTTTTTTCCCCCAAAATACTTCTCCATCAACTATTCAACTGATGACGCCATAAACAGCTTTTTTTTTTTTTGAGATGGACTCTTGCTCTGTCCACCCAGACCTGGAGTGGCAGGTGGCACCTATCTCCAGGCTCACTGCATGCCTCCGCCTGCCCGGTTTCAGCCATTCCTGCTCACCTCCCCGAGCAGCTTGGATAGAACAGGCGCCACCATCATGCCCCCGGCTAATTTACCTATTTTTTGTATTTTAAGTAGAGCCGGGTTTCACCATGTTAGCCCAGGAAATGGTCTGACTCCTGGACCTTGATGATCCCGCCCGCCTCGGCCTCCACAGTGCTGGGATTCAGGCCGTGAGCCACCCAAGCCCGGCCTTTTTTTTTTTTTTTTTGAGATGGAAGTTTTTTCTTGTCGCCCCAGGGCGGCAGTGCCAGTGGCGTGATCTTGGCTCACTGCAAACCTCCGCCTCCCCGGGTTCAAGTGATTCTCCTACCT